ACACACAACACCAAAATTTCTTCTAGCCATTATTTCTTACATGTCCAGCATTTTCTGTGACACTCATAATCATGCACACAGAAAAGCAAGCAATTAATCAAATCAAAGATAAACCGGTATGGAATAGGGAAGAATCACCTTTGCAATGACATATAAAATAATAAGCATTGCTTCTCATCACACTGTCTCATTTAGCATTCATTATATGCCTGTATATTTTGTTTTAGTTGTGACAAGACAGGAGCAGTGTATCTATTAAAAGAAATGGGGACAGAAGTCTTCCAGGCAAATGCAATGTTTAACTAAAAACATTCAGTGAGCCAAAGACGTTGTATTAAATCTCCCTCTCTCGCCCTGTCTCTGTTTCTCTGTCTGTGTGTGTGCATGTGTGTGACCTTTGCACAGACAGGCCAGAAAGAGCAATTCAATTAGAGTCTATCACATAATAACACACATTGCCTATTTCAGTAAACACAAACAAACATACACACACATGCAGGAAGCAGCAGAGAGGGTCAGCGTCACTCAAACATTTGAAACATGGCTTCATCTTCACCAGTCTCTTCCTCTCTTCCTCCACTTCACACAACAGTGTGCCCTAGCAGCACGGCCAGAAGGTCAGGCACTCTGTAAGGACTCTGTCATCCCTTAATGATAAATGAGCACTTCAGCACTTACTTTGAGTGTACCTGAGAGAACATAGTACCTTTATTGATTATTTGATAATGTATCAGTGCATTTTAAAACTATATATAGCATGAAAGAAAGTGGATTTTAACAAAAATATGATATTATAAATATAAAAGTATCTTTTTATAGCATCTCTTACAGTACCTGTGAGAGAGATGAGCAACAGTACGTGCAAAGTGCATGCAGCATTTCACTATGGCTTCTGTTTGGTCCCTGAGGTATGAAATGAACTGCTGACAGGTGTATCAACTATAATACATGACTGCACATTTTGTGTATGAGTGTGTGTTGGGGGGGGGGGTCTGACAGGACGGACGGGGCAATGAGGCCGAGCCAAGTAAATCTTAACTGGAAACAAGCACGCATGCACACACAGTCTCTTTGTGGTTTCTCTGCCTATCTTCTTGTCTGTCTTCTGTCATATATGCTGCACTTGTTTGATATTTTGGGAGCATCCTTGCGAGGCTGCCTCAGCTGAGTGTGTTGCTAGAGAACAAATAGGTCTTTTCAAGCTTAGGGTGTCAAACTGTCAGAAGTCCCCGCTGCTATGAGTGTGGTCTGCGAATTATTATATTAACAGAGAGCCTCAATGAGCAAACAAAAATAATAGTTATACAATATAGATAATTTAGTAAGAAATGGTGCAACATGAAGAAGTAAACATCATTAAAAGCTACTGCACAACCCAAGAGCTGATACAACCATTTTAGCAGACCTTTTCTTGTGTCGTATAAAATCCCAAATTTGCCTTTAACTTACTCAAAAACTCTCTCCCTTTCTCTCCCATGCTGTCTTACGTAAGAGTTTCTATTTATATATGGTGCCTAATTGGTTAGACTGAATAAAATTGGAGCCTCTTCCTTCCTCTTTTCCAGCCTGGCAGGACAGATATCAGGCCCTTCTCATTCTGTCTGGAATTTCTTAAAAAAAAAAAGGCCCTTTAAAAGATTCATAAGCTCCTAATGAGGTTATGCAGCACATTTCAAAGCAAAAAATAGTGCGACAATGTGTGTGTGCGTGTGTGTGCAGAAGTGGCTGGGGTTTATATATTTGCTCAGTGAAAAGATTATCCATAAGAGCAGACATTTGCTGCCGCAACAAATTGCATACAAGTCATAGTGGCTGGATGGATTAAAAAAAAAAGAAGAAAAGAAAAAGAAAATAGACCCTTCAGCTATCTGGTCTCCTCAGCTCAAATTTTAAAACACTTATGAGGCATGAAATCATCAGTTTAAGGGAAGAGTGATAAAAAGTTGTGGTATGATAAAATGGTTTCCAAAAGACCAAAAAGAAAGACTGCTTTGCTTGATTTGTTTGGGTTATTTACAAGATATTCATTTTGAGTTGGGCATTGTATCGTTCATGGTTTTAGCATTTACTGTCATGTATCAAGCAGGCTTTAGACTGGAATCCGTCTTTTGAGGTGTACCGAGCCAATCCGAAGAAATGGTAACATATTTAAATAGATCAGTATCAGCTAAAATAACATTGATCAAAATCTGGACATCCTGCATCTACCACGAAGCTAGCTAACATTACAGCTCAGCCAAGGAGGACGCCAATAACATTTACATCTTACGCAGTCACAAGCACGAGCTTCTCTTCCATGAGTAGATGCGCTCTACCTTCTGCTAAGTAATACGGTTAACAAATGGGGTTTGGTGGAAAGAAAATAGTTCCTAAATGAAACTGCTGGTCTGTGGGTTAACTGTAACTGGGTCATGGTTTCTGGAAAGAGTCATGTTTTTGGCACTTGGAGCACCACAAGCCAAGTGCCATCTAGTTCCAATATATTCAAGAGAAGGCAGACATCTCTATGCCAGATATCTCCAACGCTCTGCAACTCACACCAAAACAATCTAGACTGATAAATAGCACTACAGGTAAAAGGAAAAATATGCATTTTTGTTTTGGGGGTGAAATGTCACCTTGCCTACCACTCAAAACTGTGTTTTTACCTTCTTGGCCAACAAAATACAGATCTCAAGATATTAAAAGACCAACCAGTTTGGTAAGGAACCCAAATGGATTCAGATTCTACAAAAGGGTTCATTACTGGATCATGGACTCAATAAACATGCCACTGAACCCCAACCCTACCCTTCACCATGGTGCCACCCAGCTACACATCCTCGTAAGTACATGAACTATAGATCTGCATGGCTAATATTTCAGCATGCTAATTGTTGGCAACTTCAGCAGCTTCCAGCACACTTTTATGCTCTGCCAGGTGACATGTTTCACATCAGGATAAATCCGGCTAGAAGCTATGATGGTAAGGTCCCCAGACACAGAACATGGTGGAAAATGTGTCAGTGTTCTTACATCTACTACACGTCTTCTGTACATTAACAAAATGAGACTGGGAAGGGATGCAAGAGGGTGGAAGAAAGTGATAAGTAGAAGTGATGAAAACATAACGCATGGCAACATTAAAAGCATGATGAAAGCTGCAATTTCATTCCCTCTCTGCACACTTATTGAATTTAAAAATGCAAAATGCTATCAATGGAGAGCAGCAGTGGAAAAGGAGAAGCAGCTGAAGACATGGGTAAAGACAACTGGCTACCACCACCTGCAAAACATGCTCATTAATTACAGCAGAGCTGCCTGGACAAAAGGGGAAAACTTCAAGACTGATAAACAGCAAAACAGGCCTCAAAACTATGAAATAGTATTTGTCAAAAACTGTCACATCTCCCTGCTCTGTTTGAGCACAAATGATTTGATTTTTATTTAATCTAAAAACTACTGTCAACACACTGTAATGGCAGCTGGAATAACAGACAATGACGCAGAATCCAACTGATGAAGCTCAGCGCAAGTTCAATCAGAAAGACTTTCTCTGTGCTCTTCCATTGATAATTCTCTCCCTCACACTCCCACTGCTCCCTCTAATCAGCTGACTATGGGTGTTCACTCTAATAGTTATCCAATAGAACTTTGCCACAACCTCTCTCAGCCAATCACAATGCTACTGCAAAATTTTAAATCTGCTCTCTTCTCTGCTGCTGTCAGCTGTCATTTTAGATGCCCTCCTCCACCCTGTTCACCTCCAGACATTTTATCCAGAGTCCAGGACAAGATCAACAAAGGCTCATCCCTCTACTCATGCGGATCATCGGCACTTCTCCATCTTCCTCTCATCTCATCTTCACCATCTCGACCACCACCAGCTTCTAGACCCCCTCTCAACCATAGATTCATCACCCTCCTGAAATCATACCATCTCTATGGGGTCTAATCGCCAAAGACTTTCCACATTTCTCGTTCTATGCACGCATGGTAATACTTTTTTTTTTTTTTTTACTAAAAAAAAAAAGGAGTCTCCCCTGATTGAAATATTTTGGATGAATTTAAAAGTAATTATGTAGAGCCGAACTAAAATAAGAAATTCACCTTACTGTAATTTTCAGTCCCAGAAAAATTAAAAATAAAAGAAATTCTGATTTCTGTAACTGAAAAACCTGGTTTAACACATGCAATTTTTTCATGGAATTAATGTGTATTTTTACATTTCAAATAACATCTTTGTAGAAAGTCATGTTTTAGTGGTTTTGACATCTTTGAGGCAACAATATAATTTCCTTTTTGCTGTATGTGACTTCAACTGTGGCCATTTGTTTTCATACCCGACACAATGGGAAATGTGAGCCTTTAAAGTTTAATTTCAGTTTGCCAGTGTTGAATAACTGGCAAACACAACAATTAAATATTAATTATCATGCCTTTCCCTTTCATCTTAAAATGGCAGCCAGAGAGGTGTTACAGGAGATGGAGGAGAGGATGATTATTTTTCATATTAACTATAAAAACAAATCACAATGTAAATGGATAGATGCACCATACTTTAACACCCTTATATTGTTTTGTACTGAATACTGCAGTACTATCCCTGGGTCACACAGTTAAGTGTTTTACTTGTATCACAATTTTCATTCCACAGCCTTATTAACAATGAGGATTATTTTATATCTGAATAAATCAAATACTTTTCCTCCAAAAAATAGTGAAAAGTAGATCAAAAATCTTGGTACCGTGGTTTAGTATGTCTCTGTTTTGATTTATACTGTACATACATATATCAAAAACAAATGCATGTTGTTTGTTTGACAGAGTCAGGTCAGAGAAGGAGAGTAGACATTTTCATTAGAGCTTTCTGCTAATCTTTGTGTCTTCCCTGTAATGTAATTTCCACCAGAGACAATTGCCCTTGCGGCTCGAAGACAAAATAGGCTTTTCACATTAGACCCTCGTTTCCCCCCTTTTTCTTTTAAACACATGCAAACACACGCATGCCTTTCTCTTACCTCCGTCATGTGAATAAGGTAGAATCTCAGTTCTTCAGCGTAATCTGTAAGACAAACAAAAAACAAAGACTTTAATATTACCAATTACCCAATATTTGTTGTCGGTTTCTTTTTTAACTCACTTCCTTCTTGTACATAAAGCAGCATCTTTGATTTGCAAATATGATTTTGCCAAAATACTTTTATTGACTGAAGGCTGTTACTTTGGGGCAGCCTTATAGGCCTCCTCCCATAATTCACTGAAGCAGCGCTCTGTGAGACAAGCCTGTGGGTCTGGAGTCAAGATAAATGGATTTAATCGAATGCCCCCCCCCCCCTTCTCAACACAAACACACACTCACTCAAACATACACTCACACAAGCTATATATTGTGGTGATATTTACTATTTTATTTCAAGTAAGTGCACACACGAAACCAACATTTTGACTGACTGGCAATCCTGGCTGATGTTCAGTATCACACTGAGGAGCGGCTTGGCCCTGGGGTGAGATTTAAAATGATTAAATGTGTCCTAGAAAGGCAGGGATCATCCATTAAAACCTACATACCTCCTTTTCTCCCTTCTCTCTATCTTGTATTGATATATAAGAGTGTCTATGTCCATGAAACTGACATGCTTCAGTGTATTATTTAGAGCATGGCAAATAGGTGCATTGAAAGTCTGACAGGGCAAATTGACCAACTTAATCATAAAATGTTAGTAGATATATAATAGTTTGTCATAAATCTACATACAAGTGCGGGAAAGAGCATTCAGATACTAACTAAATTTATACAGACTGTTGTGGGTGTCTATGTGATGACTCATTCTGATTTGCCTCTCCCTTCAGGAGCCTGGTGGGTGGAGTCAGGTCATCGGGGAGACTCAGCTCACCTGGGGCAGGCTGGCTTCCACCTAATTTGGTGTTTACTTTTAGTTTATCATGACTCTAACTTCCATTTTTGTGATGTAAAATAAACTTCTTTTTAGTTACAACGCATGTGTTATAGCCCCACTTTGTCCAGCCTAGAGCCAGGTTGTGACAGTGGACCCAATCCCAGCTTGCTGGACAAATTTTAAGGTCGGGTTAAGTTACCAGGCTTGCAGATTGGTTTAATAGTTTTGGAACAAACTATAGTATAAACTATGCAGGATTGTCCTAAAAACGATGTATAGACTCACACGGAATTGTAACTCATCAATCATCACTTGTGACCCACTAAAACTGTGTAGCAGAGTATTTTTCTGCAGAGACTCTGCCCTCTGCCTGTGTTTTCTTATTTTCTGTGCTGGAGACATTTACCAGTGTGTACTCCCACAGCACTCAGGTTAAATTGGGGCTTTATGAAAAGGTAGCGACCAGGTGCCAGACTGTACGCAGCACACATCCAAGAGACACAGCATTGAAAAAAATGAAGAATATAGCAAGACAAAATGCCAAATGAGAGGAAATCCGGGGTTGGCTTTCAATGCAGTAACAAGTAACATAGTAAATCTTTGCGTAACCTGACCCATATGCTACAACAAATCTAGTTTGTGCGAATGTGTTTGAATAATTTACGATTCAAAGCAGAGTATTTAAAGGTCTTACACTTTGTCTAGAGGAGAGCTTCTAAACATGACACTCGTCCTTTCTTCAGTTACTTAAAGGTGCTATATGTAACTCTGGACAAAGATAGTTGATTGTTGAGTCTCAGTCCCAGGTTGCCAAAAATGACGCTTTGGGTTGGTGGTTTAGTCTGAAGGCCGACACAATGCATAGGTATTTCACGACATGGGAATGAGACTCCACAAACTATCTTTCTCTAGAGTTACATACAGCAGACTTTCCAGGCTCAGTCCCACAACAGAGACAGCTGTCGTGGCCAGCATGTTGAGTCTGTAAGCTTCAGCAGCCTTGGCTCTGGCTCCTCAGCACAACAAACAGGAGTTTACTGATAACCACACGTAGAGAAAACACCTGAAGTCACCTCTCCCACATTTTAACAGACCTGTGCCTCTTCAGAAAGAATTCTGTTTATTATGGTCCCTCTACCTCCAAGCCTTTGCTCTTTCACCCTGAATATTAATGGCAGACAGCCTCCACAGGCAGCTCTGACTGTTCCTGTTTCTGTAAACTAATGCAGTCCAACAGAAAGTGCTTCTTTATATAACCAACAGCAGAGGTCACTGTTGGATATCTTTCTGTTGCCAAAAACTAGACAACTACTGTCTTACAACATAGTGCTTTACAAAAGGCATGATGATGAAGTCCATGTGTTAAGTTTGAATTAAAGAATTGAACTTATTCTCTTCCCTTTCCATAGTTTTAAAAGACATATTTACACATTTGTTCTGAAAAGCTGTATCCTTGAATGTAAGTGGTTTCTGACAGCAGTTGCTACTGGTAAGGTGTTGAAGTTTCAGTAATTCCCTGTCACTTAAATTCACTTTCTCACCAACTGACAGACAAAACAAAACAATAAAAAGACCCGAAAAGATGCAGAAAAATTGGTCCACGCTTTTGTTACCTCAAGGCTGGATTACTGTAACTCTCTATTATCAGGTAGCTCTAGTAAGTCCTTAAAAACTCTCCAGCTAATTCAGAATGCAGCAGCACGTGTACTAACAGGAACTAAGAAACGAGATCATATTTCTCCTGTTTTAGCTTCTCTGCACTGGCTCCCTGTAAAATCCAGAATTGAATTTAAAATCCTACTGTTAACTTATAAAGCTCTAAATGGTCAAGCTCCGTCATATCTTAGAGAGCTCATAGTGCCATATTATCCCACCAGAACACTGCGCTCTGAGAACGCAGGGTTACTCGTGGTCCCTAAAGTCTCCAAAAGTAGATCAGGAGCCAGAGCCTTCAGCTATCAGGCTCCTCTCCTGTGGAATCATCTTCCTGTTACGGTCCGGGAGGCAGACACCGTCTCCACATTTAAGACTAGACTTAAGACTTTCCTCTTTGATAAAGCTTATAGTTAGGGCTGGCTCAGGCTTGCCCTGTACCAGCCCCTAGTTAGGCTGACTTAGGCCTAGTCTGCCGGAGGACCCCCCTATAATACACCGGGCACCTTCTCTCTCTCTCTCTCTCTCTCTCTCGTATTCTATTACTGCATCTTGCTAACTCGGCCATTCTGGATGTCACTAACTCGGCTTCTTCTCCGGAGCCTTTGTGCTCCACTGTCTCTCAGATTAACTCATATCGCAGCGGTGCCTGGACAGCGTGACGTGTGTGGTTGTGCTGCTGCCGTGGTCCTGCCAGATGCCTCCTGCTGCTGCTGCCATCATTAGTCATTAGTCATACTTCTACTGTTATTATACACATATGACTATTGTCACACAAGTATACTGTCAGATATTAATACATACTTTCAACATATTGTACCACAGTAGCCAGAACTATAACTATAATATTATTACTTTCATTAATGTTGTTGTAAGCTACTGTCATTACCTGCCTCTCTCTCTCTCTCTCTCTCTCTCTCTCTCTCTGTCTCATTGTGTCATATGGATTACTGTTAATTTATTATGCTGATCTGTTCTGTACGACATCTATTGCACGTCTGTCCGTCCTGGAAGAGGGATCCCTCCTCAGTTGCTCTTCCTGAGGTTTCTACCGTTTTTTTTTCCCCGTTAAAGGGGTTTTTTTTGGGGAGTTTTTCCTTATCCGCTGTGAGGGTCTTAAGGACAGAGGGATGTCGTATGCTGTAAAGCCCTGTGAGGCAAATTGTGATTTGTGATATTGGGCTTTATAAATAAAATTGAATTGAATTGAATTGAATAAAATCAAACATCCTTTGAATCTTGCACTGCATCACAGTTTTGTCTGTTGTATCATTTCTCCTGTAACTGTGCTGCAGTAGCTGTCCAAAGGCTCTATGAGGTCATGTAGATGACCTGGTGGGTGACATCTTCTTACTATGTTTAGTATGATGATAATGACACATGGTCATTTTGGTTTAATGCGTGTTCAATACCTCACCAAATGTTTCCCACGCTCCTGAGGCTAGTATCAGGGTGACAGGAACACAGGAAAGCCCCTGTATTGAACTTGTACTGTGTCATTACACGCACACACACACACACACACACACACACACACACACACACGTCAAACACACCCTTGCTGAAACAAACACAATCCCCCGGCGCCTCTTTCCTGAGTGACGCTGCCGAAGCGAAATAACAATGACAGGCAGCAGGGTGGAGGTGTGTGTCTGTGTGTGTCTGTGTGTGTTTGTGTGTGTGTGTCCTCCCATGAAACACACACACAGACACACAAACCCTACTAAATCCCCACTCTGGTGATCTCCGATTGTTTAGGTGAAGGGTGGAGGTCAGAAGTGGCCCAGAGGAGACAAGTGATGTCTGTGGGGAGGGCAGGGCAGCTCAGGCCACTCTCTATTAGTGATGCTACATTTGGAAGTGTGTGTGAAGAGTGAGGAGTGGTCACTGGATGTTTCTCTCAACAAGACCTTTGACAAAACCTTGTAAAATGTAAATATGTGTGTATAGACTTAGCCATACAGAAAATGTTCCTTAAAACTACCTTTTTAGTATTGGGGAAATTGGAAATATATTCATAAACAACCTTTTTTCCACAACAAAGACTAAAACAAAATAGAAAAATAACCTTAATGACAAATACTTAAAAAGATGTTTCAATTTTCATTAACAAGGCAAAAACTAAATGATCAAGTGAAGGGTGCACGAGTAGGCAATTAATTTAATAGTCTCATTTAAAGACACGCATCTGTGGAATCACACATTGTATGCTCCTAATTTGAAAAACAACGCCCCCGCTGATTTATCTGCATGACCTGCTGCACAAATAAGCAGCATCTTACACTGCAGTATGTCTTGACCAGTAACTTGAGCTGATAATACGGTGTCTTGGAGGGAAAAAGTAGCAGGTTTGTGAGCTAAATGCATCCAAAATCAGACTAAAAATGACAACAAAAAGCTGCAACAGAACAACAAACTAGGAAAACAGGCAGGTATGCACTCCAAATGCCCAAATTAACAGTGATTTTCCAAAGTACAATACATAACCTGGATATTCTGATTGATTTACTGTAACAAAGTCAATTTTATTTTCCCCTACAGGAGAATGACACCAGGTTCTGGCATTTCCTGCCATGGTGCCGCCTTAAGAGCAAGGCCATGTGGCTATGTGAGGCTACACTGACACCTATAGGGGGCTTTATCTATTGAGGGTCAGGCACAGCCCTCAACTGACAGAATCGAACCATAATCACTCAACAATGGACTCATTTGCACTGAGTAAATACCTTACAGACCTCACAGGGTCACAGTAGTCTCCACCTACACTCACACTGACTCTGAACCTCAACGCTGCCATTAAAGTCATTACTCTGTCAGACAGAGCAGATAATCTCCTATCAATAACATCCTTTTAATACCTGCTATTCTGCTATATCAGTCCCATAATCCTGACACTACTACCCTACTGTTAAGCCATACCTATTGTCACTCAGCTTTCCGACTTGTTTTGTGGATAATGCCCTGCTCTGTATAACAATCAACTGACCTGACACCCAATACGACAGTCAGCTGAAGGAGAGAGTGATTATTACTGTTTCTCACCTATGCACTCATCATTTTTCAGTATCATGAGTCTGAGTGTAACCCCTCTTCTCTGGCCCTGTCCCAGACATGACTCCAAATGTTGGCCCTGTCTCCGCCCACCACTCTAAACACAGATATTTACAGTGAGCCCTATTTATTTGACTTGCCCGGGCTCTGTGCTGTCCTGAGAGCCAAACTATTCTCTCCACATCGCTGGAGGAGATGGCTGTTTACACCGAGGTGAAATAAAAAGACAAAGCAGCAGGAACTCGGGCAGTCTTTCCCTAAATATCCTCTGGTTAAGCTCAACTGAAAATATCACTGTAATCATAGTACTGTGTGTTTATTTCTGGTGGTGTGTTTTAGTGTTACATTTCCCTTTTTTATTCTGTGTTGAACTGTAAAGAGAACTTTATGAGTGGTTTAACATGGTAACAGATAAGACTGTTTAAAGATACATTTACACATGTTGTAATGCTGGCTGATGTGTTGTTCTTCCTGCATGTGTTGATGAAACATGAATTTATTATCACATCAACATCTCAAACACCTCAACAGAATGTCACAGTTTGGCAACAGTGTGTTAAAGCGCACATACCGTCCTGGAGCCGGAGCTGTCGGAGGTACAGGGGACTCTGAAGGACGTTACACCTGCCTGGCTCATCCTCTCTTGTCACCAGCATCAGGTCACTGTAGATGAACACTGTAACCTACAAGATCGGAGCGGCAGAGATGGAGAAGGAAGAAAAAAAAGAGACTGAATATTATTTCATACTTCATATGGTCTCACCAAACCTTCACACCTTTACACCAAACGCACATCTGCAGTGCAGTGTGATGCACATAACACCACCTAACACTCAACAGGTCTCACCCATACAAAAGTTTCCCCCCACCTCATGTCCTAGCACAGGAAGTGCAGTCCACACATACATAATTAAGGCTATACATATTACATCTAGTGAAATCTTGCTTTTCGCCTGTTGAATGTTAGCCCTGTGCTTTCAAATATACTGACTCTCCACAAACTTCTCTTTTGTATTGCTTCACCCAGTGGTAAAAAAAAAAAAAACATAATAGCTGTGTGAACATAAAAAGACCTGATTGAAATATATTTTATTAAAGCTTGAACTTCATCAGCCCTCACCTTAGTATTAGTGCTTGTACTATTTTCTTTACTTAGTTGCTCCAAATCACAAATGTATTCTTGTAACACTGTAACTTTCTTATTACGTCAGATTTACAAACATACTGTAGCTGTAAAACAGTCCAGTGAAACAACATCAATACATTAATATTAATCCATTATTTTTGCCTTACAATTAATTTTGTTACAACAGCTGGCTGATTTATGAGAAAAGTTAAGTTATGATGATTCAATGTCTGCCTTTATAGCCTTGGTGACACCGTATCTTTCCAGACTTCCTTCAACCTCAACACACTAAGCTTTCGGAGTGAAGGAAAATATCAATACACTTGAGAATCTCGATGTTTTGTGATACCGTACTGATCTCAAAAACACTATAGATTTTTTGGTTAATTAATTACATGCAAAGTGTCGTGACAGTGGCTCATTCTGTGTTGAGTTAAACCCCCCGACCGCTAGACAGCAGTGTTGTGATCTATCTAAAGCCATTTCACTCTTCAGCTGCAATGTAACGACATTACGCTAGCTTAAACACAAAGAACAGGGGCCTATGAAACAGGCAAAGTCATAAAGGGTGCACCACTAGCCCCTGATATTAAAATAATTACTCCTGAATTGTGATACGTATCTTCTTGCCAGATTTTTGCTAATACACAGCCCTATTAAGCTCACTTATCATACCCCAAGTACTCCCGACATAGTGTAAGAAAAATTATTGATCGTCCATTCATGGCTCATACATGAAGATGGCTTGATGTAAGGAATTGCTGTCAATGTGTGCAGAAGGGGCGCAGCTGCAGCTTAAATATAATTACATACCACTCCTTAGCTTCTACTTTGAGGAGAGTTTTATCAACATGTCATGACAGCCTGTAGCTGGCTTTATGCTTCTGCTGTGTTAAGTGGAAAAAGTCATGCCAGTGAAGCATTTAAATGAAAATGAATGAAGAAAGGAACAAAGCATGAAAATGAAAAGTAAGAAATGGGCGATAAAAAAAGAAAATAAAGAGCCTCGATGTATGCACGAAAGTTGCTTATGCAAGCTTTTGCTTTCATGCCACTTAACACGCGCACAGTGTAATTCATGTAGATGGGCACTGTTTCAAGACAAGGCTTCCTCTGAAGGGTGAGACAGCAGTGAGGGTATTTCAGATGTAGCCAGTGTGCAGTTCGAATTCGTGTGTGTGTGTGTGTGTGTGTGTGTGTGTGTGTGTGTGTGTGTGTGTGTGTGTGTGTGGGTTTGAGTGGGTGGAAGAGGATGTAAGTAAGTAAAGAACAAGGACAAAGCGAATGAGAGGCAAGCAACAAAGAGTTTCTATACAGAGAGACACACACACACACACTTTTCATGCATACACAAACACACTGTTCAAATGTGCATAAAAGGGTGCACAAAATGTTTGAATGTTTGTTTTATGTCTATGCTATAACAAATACTAAGTTTGTCAAGTCAAACAAGCTAATAAATGCTAGACATCCAAGTCATGTGATACATGTAAGTCAACTTTGCCTTGTTTTACATCTGACAAGGCACAAATATCACATTTTAACATAATTACAGATGTATCCTGTACTAACTAACTGCACAACTACTTAACTAGAAATAAAATAATCAATTGGTTATGCTGAATGTCATATCAATAGCTGTCTTTCAGGGTTTTTTATTCTTTATTAGCATTAATACAATTTAATCCACTTAAAACTACTATGAACAAATGTCAGTTTGAAATATTAGTGTTATTTAATCCACTAAAAGTCCATTTCATCCAAATGTCACTTTGGATTAAGTCAAATTAGTGTGGTGTTTTGCTCATTATTTGTGCTCACATATTATAATGAAAGTCATACGTGTTTGTGTGAACAATACAGTTGTGTGTGCTTGCCTCCCGGGCAGACTCACAAAACTCTGGGTGAGTAAAAAATAAAAGCTGGAACAACACTGACAGATCATTAAAAACAGCCTGTGTAAAGCAATGGAGAGAAACTCCCTCCTGACAAACACTGGCTGTTAAATATTTGTTTTATGACTGACCCCGGAGAGAAGCCAGATTACCTTCCATGCCAGCAGTCACTGCACTTCACTGCACCGCACGGCAAAGATTATCTGACAGGCTAAATTAAAGCAGTGCGGCAAGAGCTTAATTCCATAAAATAATAGTCTTGCCTCCGTCTTTTCTCTTTCCAAATACACGTAAGCTTTCTTAACATGTTTCTTCTGAAAATCATAATAATGAAATGTCAGAGAATATTCCCTCATTCGAAAGTCTCATTTCCAAATCCTCAAATTTTAGAATATCTACCTGCTAATCACTTGGAATTATCGTTTTTAAAGTTGTTAATTCTTCTGCCAAAAATAAGAAACTTAATGTGCGTCACAAGTTTTTCCGTTAAGGAAAATGCACCTGCGCATTTATCAAAGTCATGCAAATATTTGCAAAATAAATACCAGTAGATTAATGTGGCTGGCAAGCAAATGTTAACTTGAGATACAGACAACTTTTCTTAGTGAAGTTGGCTCACCGACAGTTCTTATATGATTAATTAGATAAGATTACATTACCGGATCTGGTTCTGGTGTTCAGTGCTTAAAAGTTTCTTTGAAGAATAACCTTCTACATGTTAATCTGTACGACCGCATTAAACATTGCAACTTCTTTTAATAAGTTCCTCTGACACCTACAACACTGCAGTACTTGTTACAGAATATAAATCTATATTTTAAATTTCTGAAAGTTCTAAAAGAATGAGCATCATTACGTCCGACACAAAGTCTTACATAATTCCCACTTTCACTTGTACAAGACACCTTTACACTGCAGAACACCATTGTGAGGTGAGGTTAATATATTGCGAAAGGGTCATTAATATACACTGGAGGAGCTACTGTATCTTTTGATGCATAAAACAGAATTTCTCCGTCAGTCAGATCTTTGGCACTCTCCTCTTTTATCAATTATTCAGTTTCTCTGACTCATGGGTCCGATAGTTCAGGGTAGTTACAAATTCTTCAGCGATGTTCAGACATCTCCTCTCCCATCCCTCCTCTCAGGGTTCTGCTTTATACTTGTTCTTCCTTTCCGCACACATATATAACTCGAAAACACACACACGTTTTGACTTAAGATGCACACTGGGGCAATGGAGCGTCACTTTTAGTTTGGGCACAGAAACAAAGCACACAGCTGGTTGTGACAAACCAACAAAATGTTTGCCGCTGGTCTGTTTGTCTCCTGCAATCTTAAGATGCTAGAGAGGAGAGGGGCTCCATCTCTCTGCATCAATCAAATGATAAAACTCTTTGAAAGAGGAGCGAGAAAAATAGCGTTTCCTCTTTCCTCAGATCAACAAGATCCAATCCTGTATCTTCAAAGAACCATTTTCCAGCTTCTGGGTTATCTTCAAATTAGTTTTAGATCATATCCTGCATAAAGTTTTGGATGTTCTTGGTCAACAACTGACAATCCTGTGCAGAATGGTGAGCAGAAGTAAGAGCTACAAGACGGAGCTTTTTACAAAAAGCAAACACACCTAGCAAACATGGTCACAGAATTGTGTAATGTGCACTGAAATGACAATCCATGCATATTCTTACATCACACACAGACACAGATATACACATAGATTAACATCGCTGATGCCACTTACCTTGAGTGAGTGGTGCTTGCTCTCATGTAGTATCATCTCCTCAGATATGATGAGAGCTCGGCTGCAGAGGTCAAGAGGCTGGACACGGAGCAAAGACATATTACACAGACACATTAGGACACAAACGTTTTTGAACATTTTTTGATGCTCATTTACTGATAACTGATATTTTTAATCAGATATCAATCCATGACCACAAGCTCATATTACTCGTATTATTACCCGTAGCCTCACTGTCAAACGTAGCCTCACTGTCAAAAGCATGAATACATGCCAGCATTTCTAAAGATAAAAATCAAGTCTATAATATTTTGTTTGTTACAGACTATTAAAGATTAAAATAAAACACAAGTTTGCAGTACCAAGTCCATTTTGGCTCCTAAATCCAAACAATCTGCTAAACGGCAAGCCTTCTGTCTACTGTGAGAAACACAAGTGAAACCGACAGAGAGCTGCGACAGTGAGGTGAAATTTGTGGTCTGAGTATGACAAGACACTGACACTTAAAATTAACTAGTACGGCAATGTGGGAGGAGGGGACTTCCTCTCAAGTCCAAGGGTATGACAAAGGGCCGATTGAATATGTGTGTATGTGTAACATATGCATACTGTGTGAAGCAGGGTCAGGGCTGCACGTTTCTATATGAATAAACAGGAAGTGCCACCACAGTGTCTGCATTTTGAAAGTGTAGATGGCTAAAAATCCTCAAGATACCAACTGTATTTTAAAAATTGCAGTATATGCAAATATCAAACAACTATTATCCTATCTCTTGATGGTCTCCTTTGGTTATTTAATCATATTTTTCAAACAATATTCATCATAACAACTGTATACTGCATGTACATACAGAGAAATTAGGGCATTTATTTTGCAATGAACCACGACTTAACTAGTCCCTGCTTCCTGATTTGGACTTAATTCACCTTGAGAACAATACAAAAGTCTGCTCAATTAGCAAACTTTGAAGAATATCTATGTATTGTAATATTTTTTTTCACACAGCAACTTATAGATACAAGTTGGATGGACCGTACAGAACATCACAATACAGTTCCTTATTTTATGTACTGTATCTAAAAGATAAGCTTAAAAAATAACCACAGACAGATGCACTACGTGCTGTAGCCTTAAGACAGAAACTCAGAAACAGTCTGCATATCTATTATGTGTAATCTGTGAAAACAGAGCCTCCATGACTTGCAAAATACAAGATGCACAAACAGAAAGGTCAATGTATTTCATAAGTGTAAACCTCATATATCTATTTCCTTTTGACCCAAATGTGCCAGGGGGAAAACCATCATATCTAGAATACCACCGGCTTTTGCATATATGCATTCCCCTGTTTGACTACTAAAGAGTGGTTTTCACAGCATCATGGTGACCTAGTGGTCTTAGATGCATTCCACATAACCGCTACAGCGCGTCCAGAGTTCAAGTTCAGCCGGGCATTTGCATGTCATCCCACTCTCGCTCCCTTTATATCCTGTCTGTCTTCTTAAGGCCCAGACAAACCAAACCAACTTCAGAAAACAAGCAGTTAGGAAGGCCCACTGCTGCATCACCTGACTTTGCTGTGTCCCAGCCAAAAAACTTGCACTTGAACACACCACAAAGACTACAGCTGATGGTCAACCAGCATGTATGTCCTGCGCCTGCATGAGAGGACATAACTCTCTACACCAGCAGACAACGCTAGTCTGTAATCCTCATTCAAAAGGGAAACTGGAAGGCCATCTTGACACTAGTTAGCCAGTTAGCACATTAACAACACAATCCAGTGTTGGAAGAACAGAGCATATTTACCACGCACCAGTGAACAATAACACAGACCATCACAAACCTCTTGTGCACTAAACTGAACTGCCAATCAGAGTGATTTCATTCACCGACAGGCTCCACCGTCACCAACGCTGATTCAGCATGTTGACTTTGACCAATAGCTGACCGTCAGCTTGGTGTGTCAGGGCCTTTAGAGCATACTGATGACAATTTTTTTCAGATTTCAGTGCATATAACCCAATCAGCTTGGATTAGAAAATGAAAAAAACAAAATAGTTTTTCATGTGGATAGATGAGAAGATCAATACCACTCCCACTTAACAGACAAATAAGTCTGTAGGAAGCTGCAGCCAGGAGACAGTTAGCCTAGCTTAGCATAAAACCTGGAACCAGAGGGAAACAGCTAGCCTGGCTCTATCCAAAGTTGGCTTACCTGAACAAAGATGGGGAAGATAAGGATCTTGGGTGCCACTTTGACATATCCGTAGTTGGCATGTGGAGTGTGTGAGCGGACAATGGTACAGTTCTGGTAATTGGCAAAGTTGGCATTCTGCTGTTGGTAGCCAGGTACACCGGCGTTAGTAGAGGTGGACGCCGTCTTTGTTGTCTTGGAGTTGTTAGAGCGGCGCAGGAAGCCAGTACGGCTGGAGAGACCCCCACCGCCACCGCCACCACCACCACTCTGGGACTGTGAACCAGAGGCCTGCCGTGTGGGGTATAACCTGGCAGCTGTTCAAGAAAAAGAAGAGGGGGAAGCAGCAGGGGGTAAAGACACAGATTACATGTAATTTCTTCAGCTACATGTGGTGTGTCAGTAACCATCACTTCCATTGAGCTCAGATAACACACACATTTACTTTCTTAGAGAGAGATTAGAAGATTGATAGGACTCCCAGTTCAGGAGATGGTTAGTTTAGCTTAGCATACAGACTGCAAATGGGGAAAAAACACCCAGCGTGGCTCTGTGGAATGGTAACAAAATCCACCTACCAGCACCTCTGCAGCTCACTAATTAACCTTTTTCTCGAATTCGTAGAAAAACCAAAGTGCAAGAACGTCAAGCTGTGGTTTAATGGGGGTTTTAGGGGGATTTTGTTACCTTAGCACTATTTCCCTGCTACATATGTGTCCCCATTTTGGTTGTGGTTAAAATGAAATTTAGCAAATCATGGTCTTGATTTGAACAGTTTATGTCCTTGTCTTACTGTTTACTAGCTACTTGTGTAGACAAAATGACTAAGTATCAGTAACTATACGACTTTGACTGTAGCTTCTTCACTGCTGGCCCATGTAAAAACTCAGAGACCTCATGAGACCTCAGCTACAAGTGCTACTAAAAAACAGTGTTTTCAGGGACACTCTAACACCAGAGTAGAAACATTTGCATGGTGTGTGTTTGCCTAACAGTGCTCCATAGTGTTAAAGACAGAGAATGCATATTTGATATCTTAAGCTGTTATATTGGCCAGTAAAAAACAAGTGAACATAAAACTGATGATAATTGTCTGTGTGTGTGTTTCACTGACAAAGCACTAAAAAAAAGTAATTGTAAAAGTATTTTTAACTTGCTGTATTTCTAAGGTCAGTCTTATTTTAGACTCTATCAGGGTGCCAAATCTTAAGTGAATTTAATCAGACTCATTAAAATAACAATTACCTGAATGTGAAGTCAAAAATTAGATTAACATTGGGCTACATCCAAAGGAAAAATAAGGCACCAAAGCCAACTTAAACAAAGGCTTTCAGCCAAAATACTCAACAGAGTTCACTGTGGCCTTTGACAAAACACTGTATGAGTATGAACAGGTCTTACCTAACGTTCCCTGGTTGTCTTGGTAAACAGGCCTCAAGATCTGAAAACAGAATAATATTAAATTACATTAATATTAAATAGGCTTGTATCAGCACAATGATATCTGACATCTAATCCATAGCTTAGAATGGAATGGAGCCAAAAGACGTCAAAACAATGACATGAGATACAGTATGCCATTGTTTTATTGGGGAATTGATACTATAGTATATTGATAGTCTTAATGCAAGTCTGATCTTAACTTTCCATAATGTGATATCTGGACAAGAAGAGACACTGCATATCCTTAATTCAATAAAGGAGAACTGCCAATAAATATGTCTTACTTGTGTCCTACACTTTCTTTTGCTGTGTTGCTATGCCATGAGTTTGTGTTAAGGGGTCAGGCTGGGTGTTATCATGTGTGGTTTCTTGCATGACATTGAATTTAGTGTCTAGGACTCAGCTGAGCCCATTTGAGTTGAGCTGGACTAGAGCAAGGCAAATTAGAAAAAGGCTGCCACTACATCACATGTTCAGATTAATGTAATGCTTCAAGCATGTCATCAGCGTGCTTTTCTGAAAGCTTCTTGTGTTAAATATCTCTGTAATGTGGGCTTTCGAAGCTCTTTGTTTGCGAACTAGAGTATTGTGTCGGTGTGATATGTCACCAACATGACCCATTTCCACAGGGCTCTCGGTATATTTAGCCTGTGATGGCCACCACAAACTCTCGCCAAATCCCTGCCTCCTCTTTTGTTTGGGACTGAAGTGGTGGCTGATTGAAGGGGAACGTTTCTTCACCATGAACAACTTGGGCATGTGCGTCTAATCTTTTTCCAGAGGCTGACTAGACCACTCGACACTTTCATTTTGTCAGTGATTTCTCCGAATCTGCCCTTCTTTTTCCTTCTAAAAATCAGTCTCACCTTATGTGTGGGATTGTTTCACGACACAATGTCTCTTGCTGTGCACTATAATAACTGAAACTCAACTTGAGAGACATTCACAGGTGAAGATGGACACTACATGAGGCACACACACAGGCACACAGACACAACAGAAACACACACAGCTCCAAGTTAAAAACAGACACAGAGGAAGAGATTAGAAAATAAGATATTTTAACTATATGAACGCCAAAGGATTTAGTTAGTTAGAAATGTTTTAGAAATGTTTTAAAAGTCTTGAAAAATAGTGCAGAGGGCACTGCTGCAGGGACAATGACCTCAACACATGTTGAATGTTTTGGTTTGTTAGCCTGAGGTTGTTAATGGGTTAGTATTGTATTATTACAGTTTTGTTAGCTGAGGAATTCAGTTCAGTCTTTTTGATTTAATGAGTTTGCTTTATTTTTGTTTTTATGATCAAAGCTTTTACCTCATATACATGATGTCACTGAATGAAAAAATAAGTACATGCTGTATAAAATGTCATATACATGTCATACTGTGCATGTACATGCATGTTATACTGAAAATGTATATTGTGAAATGGACCAGTATTGAAATATGCGTATTACTTTTGTTGAATTCTTCCTTTCTTCAATGCCAGAACTATTTGTTATTAAAATACTGATGTATGATCCACGGCACACAGATGATTTATTGATTCTATGTGTTATCTGTAGGATAAGTTACTTCAGATACATTGTTCTGCTTGGTTTGTAGAATGTAATGAAAGAAATACTGCCAAAGCTTCACATAGTATAGGCATACAGTATATTATTAACAGCTATAACGTATGTTATTGTCTTCTCTTCCTTTTCAGTCTGTTGCCACATATCTACATTAGGCTGACCTGTGTGAAGTATATGCAGTGTGTGTCTTAAAGGGTAACTGTTTTTTTTTTTCAACCTGGAACCTTTTTTTGCCATGTTTTTGTGTCTAAGTGACTAATGGAGACAACAATTTTTGAAATTGATGCAGTAATGAGCGAGGCAGCCAGCAGCAGCGGAAAAGGCTGCGGTGTAACGTTAATGGGCAATTGTGCACCATCCACTCAAACTGTCTGTTTTTGCCACTGACAGGTTCAGATTATTATTCTGAGTGTCTGACAACATTATGGAAAGCATCCCTACTTGTTAAAGAGTAAAATCCTTTTTGTTGAACCAAACACAGCCCTGAAATCTCTGTCGCCAAACCCACCAGACTTCATTTAAATAAACAGTAAATTTTTCAGCATAAAACTCACTTTATTCAAAGTGGAACAGGAACAAAATAAAACTCACAAAGACCATCTTGGTTCATCCTTCCACTGTCGTAACAATCACTAACTCTGGTGTGGTTAAAATAAACTCTTAAATCACAAAATTAGATGTGGAAATGTGCTGGCTCTGTAAATGCTAAAATTACTGTTAATTTAAATGGAATCTGGTGGGTTTGACTATAGCCATTTTGGGTCTGTTTCTGTTTAAACAGGTTTAAACAAAGGACTTTACTCTATAACAAAAACGTCCTTCTCTGTAGGATCGTTTTCATAATGTTGCCAGAAACTTAGAGTAATAATATGAGCCTGAGTGGCAAAAGCAAGCACTTCTACTGGACGCATATTGACGGTGCAAACATGCCTCAAGTGGGTGCACTGCAGTAGTTTTCACTGATGCCACCTGCTGCGGTATCACTCAATACAGGAGCAATTTCAAAAATTGTCTCCATTATTCACTTAGAAAGAAAAACACGATACAGTCCAGGTAGAAAAATATCAAAGTTTCCCTTTAAAGCACAAACAGTGAGATAGCAGTAACCCAAATGGCCCACACACACTTTACGAACAGTCCTTCTATCTATCAGCACCGGGGATGAAAGGTAAGGACACATATCTAGGATGAGCCACCATATGACCATGGTGAGGATGAGGAGGACGAAGAAGATGATGAAGATGCAGTCCACCACCAGTCTGCGGTACCTGGCTTCCAGGGTTGATGGGGGCCAGGATGATGTAGTTGTCCCCGTTGGATGCCTTCACTCTGGTACCCTTTAGTGTGGCGGTATGAGGGTGGTGGAGGTGACGCGGTTTCCCATCCAGCTCCTCGGCCGACCCTCCCTGGGCCCCCCATGCCAGGGTCCCTACGCCTATACTGCTGCTATTTCCAGCTTCTGTGCCGTTGACCAGCAGCCTGCGGGTGGCAGTGGCACGGTGGTGGGCTGGGAGAGGCGGCACAGCTGGGGGGGTTTTGCTGGTTCCAACGTCTGGTGCGCGCCTGCGAGTCGGGGGTGAGGGGGCGTCATAGTTTGAAGTTGAGGGCTTGTAGGAGGGCCGATGGATGAGGCCCTCAAAACTAGGCTTAGCTGAAGGGCCTGTGCGCCACACCACCAGTGTGATTTCATTGGCGCTGGTTCTAAAATGAGAAAGAAACATAATGATAAATCTGAAGGAATATAAATTCTCAGTATATATTCTGTGAAAATGCAACATCAACTGTACACCCTTAGAAATAAAGGTGCTAACTAGAACCATATAGCATTCTTCAACTTGTTCTCATAGAAGAGCCTTTTTTATAAAGGTCTCACCTTGAACCCTTTCAGAGGTTTCTGCCTAGAAGATACATTAAGATACAGAAGAACATAACCTAGAAACATGCGAAAGGTTTCACCTATGAGAGGTTCTTTCCACCTTCTAAGGGTGCTAACAAGAACCCCCCCACACTTTTTTAGAACAAGGGTTTCATCTACAACCTACCCACGGGTCTTTAAAAATAGTCATTAACGACATTACCTATACTCTAAAAATGATTCATGGGGTTGGTTGATAACACTCAAAATAATTAAGTTTTTCAGCATAAAAAAGTACATTTGATTCATCAACATGTTTAAGTCAGTTGACAATTTATTTTTTTTAAAGTTGGTCAACATTTTTGACATTTCTGAGTAGGACGGACTTAAAATAAATTAGTTAAGTAAAATAATTTGACCACTAAAGGGCTTAAATTACATTAGGACCAAATACAAATTGCTAGTTACTAGGTTACCAAAAGGAAAGCCATGTGGTATTGTTGGGCATGAAATGATGCTTAAGCTATGGACTATGGCAGAACACAAGTAAATAGACAAGTAAAATGGATTTAGTAATGGGATAACAGATACCATTTGAAACATGGGTAAACATTTGAGTATTGGAGGGTGAGGATCTTTTAACGCTCATGCTTTCAATAATCCTTGACTCGTTCTTCAAAAAGGGTTCTTTAATTGAAGTTAAAATTGGCAATGCGTTCTTCATTTAAAGAACAATTTTTGAAGAACAAGTCAAGGATTATTGAAAGCATGAGTGATCCTCACCCTCTATTTCTCAAATACTTACCCATGTTTCAAATGGTATCTGGAATCCCCTTACTAAAATAGTCTTACAAAGAACACTTGAATAATGTTTTCTTCAAGACAAGGTTCTTCAGCTCTGGGTAAAACCTAAGCTCTTCAGGATGATACCATTTTGAGCCCTTGGTTCTAAGAGTGTACATGTATCTGTAATTTCTTCTGTAAATCATTTCAAGTATAATTCAAATCTTTGTTGAATATTTGCATACGATTGTATTATAGTTATAGGTCTGTGATATAAGAATGTAACAAAAGTAAAAGTACAGAGCAAAGTCTATGTAAATCTGTTATATTATTTACTATTAACTGAATCATAAAAGTACTTATGGGAAAACTCAGTGAGGAAAGAAATGGGTATGAAACACTTAAGTACATATCTAAGATTGTTGACTCCTGATAAATCACTGACATCAGATTGCACAGTAACTCATTGTGGATCTCTTTGCCCTAAAAGCATCGGCTAAATGAATGTAATGTAATTTAATTTCCACCTCATCTCACTGTACAGCGAATTCTATGGCTACAGGCATCTACATGCAAAATTTAAATGAATGCTCTTTACATACACCACAGGTTTTGTTCAGGCAGTCATACATATCTAATGGCTCAGCTTGGCCTGTCACTCAACCACAATACCCATATTAACTCCTTAAACCAATCAGCCCATCAGGTTATCATTACAAATCACTGATCCTTGGTCCTGAATAAGCCTGTGAAAATGCTTCTCCAACATTTTGGTGTAAATCAGCCCATAATCCTCTGGTGTGTTGAACTCATTACCTGATAGCATGGGCTAAGTCCACACATTTCCACTGCTCCACTGGCTGACCATTTAGCTGCAGGAGAGTGTCCAACTGCTGCAGACCTGCCTGATCCGCTGGACCCCCTGCCAGAGTGAAGAGATAGCAAAAGTTCACATGATTACACACTCTCAGTTGAGATGAAAGCAATCCAGGGCTACAGCTCCTTTATGTTTCAAGCTTCCTCCTTCACTATTGGAGGTGCAGAATGGCAAATTACCATACAGATGAAACAATAAAATAATAATCTGATATTGAGATGCTCTGTTGTTTTCTGAGGCAAAATTCAGTCGGTATTCCCTTTCATCTCTCCGCAGGGACGGTAACGATGTGCTCAGCTCAAGATTCAGCATTTTGTTCAAAGACGCAGCAGCGGGGTGGACATCTGCCAACACGGGGGCTTGACTCCAAGTCGTCCATTTGACGGACAGGCTCCCCTATTAAGTTCAACACCCTGCTGACTGAGCCGATGCTAATGGTAATTTTCCAAGCTACAACCAGTGAAATTAAAAAACATGAATTAGCCACAGGTGCCAGGTGAAACTTTCATGCTGATGTACAACTAAAGCAACCTTTACAGTAGTACAATCCATTACCATATTGTTTACAAAGTCCAGTGTCCTTAAATTGGAATGCAGGAAAAGAATCAATAGGTTCTGACTTAGGAGGCAGTTCAACCACCTGCTTTGACACCATATACTTTATATATCGTATCACAGTGTGCAGCCTCAAGCTACGTTAATGTCATAAATATTAAAACTAAAAATATAGTGTTGGCAGCCCTGCAAGTGAAAATGGAAAACATCCCTTACAGCCAGACCGCATTACAATCAAATCTACTCTAGTAAAGTAACTTTGTTTATGGCTGCTTTTAAATTTACAAATGTATAATTTAGTGAGTTGCAATGAGAAATGCTTTGTAAAAATTAAATAAAGATTGTTCTGTCTTTAAGTGTCTTGGGCCCAAAGACAATGCAGAATAGCTAGGACCTTAAAATTTAAACAACAGCATCTCTCTGAAAAGTTGAGTTTCATTCACACAGACATGTTCATGCAAAACTTGCCTGGATCAACAGCCTGCACCCTCACAGGGGAATCCGAGCAGATGGTGAAGCCATATCCATCCTTTCCTCGAAGGATGGTCACCTGTAGGACACACACGCAAACACACACAGTCACTTTGTGATAGGAAGATGGGACCCCTCTGTCTCTCCCTCCCCCCAACTACCTGAGGAACCAAAAGTAGCATGCTGGCAAAATAATCAACTTCCTTCCTACAGGGCGATTAAGTAGATTTGTATTCTGCTTCTACTTCCTATTAAAACTGTCTTGACAGCAGTTTCCCGGTGAACCCAATTAGCTGCGTTAGTGGGAAAAACAACTCCAAGAGATGGAGGAAAGATGTTCTTTGTCTAGCAGTTGGGGTATCTACTGAGCGCACATTGTCTATTTATTCAGACCTATACTCTGTCATGTGTACAGTTGGTGCGCCAAAATAAAGAGAAATATAAACACAAAAAATGCTGTGAAAACAAACACAATGTCTCTGTCACAGAAAAACATAAATATTTCACAACTATATAGACTTTTACTGTGTTTGACTACTTTTCTTTCCCCTACATCCTCATCACCAATGCAGCATGTCATGGACTTTACATTTCTCTGCTGTTTAAAACTGTGCTGCATTTACAGAATTACTCTTTGTATTCATTGTGGATTAAAACCTGGTTTAAAACACTCTGGCGAAAGGGACTCTACTTTCTTTTAGTATTCATGCAAATTTCTGGGTGTCTTTGTTTTAATAGTTTTTCATATTTAGTACAAATAACTGAGAAGAGTAAATGCAGACTGTTAAAACTTTTTTTATGTTAGTCCCAGTGAGCTTAAGAATTTGTTTTCCGAAGCCAAAGCAGCATAATTAGATACAGCAAGTAATTGTGTATTATTAAACATTAAGAAAAATGTGGTCTATTATGAAGTTGCTAAAAAATACCGCTCTTTATGGGTTTATTTTTCCTTCTTAGACTATTTTCTTAATATTCTTAATAAAAGTAAACAGCTCCACAAAGGGCAGTAAGGATCGTAAAGCCAAGTCCAAATGTTGTAACTAGTGCACCCTGAATTACTGGATAATATGCAAGCATCAGGGGTAGAGTTTAAATCCAGTTTTATGTCACATAAATACTGCATAAATACAATCTCAGAGTTACGATACATTATTTAGAAATACAACGCGCAGACACATTTGCTCAAATACACCAGATTCACACACACAGACACACAGACATACACACAGAGACAATACTGATGACTCTTTCCCATTGTCTCTCTTTTCTCTTTGACCCTGCGTCGTCAAACATTCGGTACCTATGCCCGAATGTCTGAGCCAAAGTCAACAAAGTTCCGTCCAAAACATCTCACTTTCCATCTCATCTGCTGACAACCAGGGGCCCAAAACACACAGACACCGCCCCCAACAACCCCCAGATTCCTCTTTTTATTTCTCGCTCTTTTTCTAGCTGGTGAAAACATGTACATGCGGCTAAATTACAGTCGACCCAAGATGCAGCGACTTGCAGAAATATGGTGATTATTCAGGGGCCTGAAGCCTGTGATGACCCTAAAATGTCGGGTACGATTGCGGTTTCTTATAGTCCAGTGATTTTATGTGCCCTGTGTCACTGTTTGGGGCCACAATTCCTTTACCATATTTGTCTGCCCTTCAGTCCCTCCAGTTTCTCTCTGTTTCAGTCGATGTCTTAACTGACACTGCTGAAAAAATAATTGCCATGATACAGAGAAAGACAGCAGATTTTGTTACCTGCTGTATAAAAGAAATCAGGATTGCTGTCTGTTTTTGTACGCCTGTACCCTCTTTGATAAGCTGAGATTGTTGCCCTGCACTGTGTGTATATTTTCCTATGAAGACAGACGGATGTAAACTAATCCTCGAGCCTGGCTGTGTGACAGAAACAGAAAGCAAAGAAGGAGATACACAGAAACTGAGAGACTGACTGTAGGTGAAGAGAGATGAAAAGATGATAAACAGGGATGAAGTAGATAAAAGACGGATTAAATAATGGTATAAGAGGGCAGTGGGACTTGAGACGGAGCAGATGACAAAGACAAATAGAAGCGCAGATGGTATGAAAAAGACATTTCACTGGAATTAAGGAAGACAAACAACAAACAGTCGAACAGTTTGAAAGATGGGCTGGAAAATTAATGTGAGGGAAAATACTGAAAAGCAAAGATGGTGACTCAAAATTAACAGAAATGACAGAGACATCGATCTGTCACGCCTCATCCATCTGTCTATCCATCTATGTCTGTGTCTTTTTATCAAACGCTGTCTCAGACATTGTGTCCTTTTTAGGCAAACTCACAGAACTGCCTAATTTGAACTGTTTAATCCAAACTCCAGAGCCTTTACAGCATTAATTAAATTTGTAAGCATAGCTGAGTCCAACCACTTGGACTCCTCTATGGTCTGCCTGGGAGAGGCAGTCCCATGCCCCTTTTCCACTTCTAAATGAAAGCAGAGGGATTATTTTCAAACTGGAGGAGAAAAGAGAAGACTAGCCTGGGAATACTACAAGAAGTCAGTATGAATGTTCTTTAAAGTGAAGTTTTTTTTCTTCAGTGCATCAAGATGTATTACTGAAAATGAATGAAGATAAACGAGGAAAAGTTCCCTGCATGCATTAAATATTTAATTTGTATGAGTAGGGCCTTATTGATGAATTAATAATTCAATCAAAGGGACTGTGGTAGAACTGACAAGACTAAAACGAACCATTTTAACTCACTTGTAATGAATTTAGATGTGCCCAAGGCAGTAAACCCTGTAGCCTATGTGTGTGCAGTATGTGTTCATGCATGTGAGACAGAGCTTCTCCCTTTTTACATGCATGCCTCATTGCTCCACCATCCTTCCAGACATGACTGCATGAAGCTACGAGAAGAAATCCTGCCAGTCTGATGATCTGATGATTACAGGGCATGCGTCTGCTTTCCAGCAGTGCAGCAGAGGTAACATTGACTGCTGACAGCTCTGCTAAACGAAATCTACCAACCACACAAATGATATACGTATACGTCATATCAGCTTAGTCTTCATTGTTTTACTCCCTTCAAAATATTCAAACATTGAAATGAAATCATATTCTGTTCCATCACATTTAATTTTCTATGTGTTCTAACATGCAATTCAGATGTGCACAAAGTGGCTTATATAAGGAGAGCGGCATCGCTTCATATCATGGCAAATGTTTTTCTCCTCTCCTCCACTCCTGCAATCCTTCCCTAACTATGTGAACAATAAATAATGTAGCAGACAGAAAGCACGTTCTGCCCTCTCTACAAGCACACATCCCTTACAGTCAGTTTTTCCTCTCCGGATGTTTTGGAGAAGCAGTTGAAAGTGCATTTTCTTCTGCGCGGTAATGGCAGGATTTGATAGTGTGCAAACAAAGATATCACCACATAAATGTTTTGCATGCCGTTTTTGTTTTAGACAGTTTGACAGCTATTGTTGTGGCTTTATAAATTATAAAATGTAGCTTTTGCAAATTAGTTATGAAAGCACTATTAGAGACTAACTATCAGACTCTGTTTTCATTCTCCAAATCTCTCACTCACACCTGATGCACCCTTCCTCTCCTCCCCCTACTCTATGGAACACACACACACACCTGAGGCAGCCTACATCCGATGCACAGGTGGCACAGCCCGTGGATAGTGTGCATCACACCTCCGCCTCCTCCTCCTCCTCCTCCTCCTCTTCCTCCCCCTCCTCTTTCTCCAGTGTTCAAGTCTGCAGCCAGCACACACACACTGCGACGGTGACTTTCAACCTGGCCGGCGCCTCTGCATCCCGAGTATCTCCACAGCTTCCTCTGTGCGGCTGAGTGTGTGCTCCTGGGGCTGTGCTCCGACGGCTGGGTGGACTTGAGTGTGTTGTGAATCATCTCAACAGTGACAGCTGCCCAAAGAGTGGCTGGGGTGGCTTTAGTTTTGCAGTGTTCAAAATGTCCGATTTCCAGGTGACAGTTGAGCTGTGGCTCTTGATAATAATATCGGGTTTCACCTTGCTAGTGTAACAAAAATGTGTCCTTGGAGACTTTATTCAGCCAAACTGGCCCCTTCCCCCAAATGAGTCTAGATTCAATTTTCTCGGTAATAGTCCTTTCTGCAAAATTGGCGTCAATCTGCCACTGACCTCCAGCTGCACTGTTATCCATCCAAGGCTCCTTAGTAACGACTCCAGTCATGAATGCACATTTTCATGAGTCTGTACCTGTCATTTCATCCACAACTTCACCTCTTCCTCTTTGCTCTTTTAAAACCTCAGGTCAATCTCCCCCTCTTCGTTCCTTCAACTTTCCTTCGCCCTCTTCTCTCCTTGCATTTGTTCTATCCCGTAACACGCCGTCCAGCTCCTTGCTCTGTGGCGTGAACAGCAGCAGTTGCAGTAGCCCCTGAGATCAGCTGTGTGAGAGTGTGTGTGGCGGCGTCATGTAGGCGAGACTGGCGCTGGCTCGGCCTGCTCAGGCCACACTGTAGCTCCTGGCAGGGGCGCTCATGGGAACTCTTCAGCAGCAGAAGAATAGGAGGAAGTGCCTCCCACCGCCACCCCCCTTCCACACGCATACACACACATGCTCATGCACACATACACTTATGCATACCTCGCCACCCCATAGCCAGGACGGCTTTGTGTGTCTGCCCCCGATAAGGCCAGTTTGCTTCCTGAGTCCACACTATGAAGCCGTGAGAGGTGCTACAGCTCTCAGTCTTTTGCAAATATACACTGAAGTGACTAATGTTGGTGGCACGAGTGAGACAAGGGGAAAAGACAGGATTTTAATAGGCATAATCTGCAAACTTATAACAGTAGACCTCGACTCCGGACCATATTTACATTGAAAACGGAAATGTTTCTGATTGCTTATGACTTTTAGGTCTCACAACTATTAATGACCACATTTCCTAACAAAAGAGAATGATGGCAGTTTTGTTACTCACTCTCTCTCTCTCTCTCTCTCTCTCTCTCTCTCTCACACACACACACACACACCTCAATCACACTTCACACCTCATCAGAAGCTTTCCACCTTAGCTCCCACACTCCCCAATCTCTACCCAGACATGCTTGTTTGTTATGTTTCCAACTTCCATATTTCCTCTGCTTTTCCTTTCAGCTGCTCCCCCCTCACCCCCAACAGTACGGTACGGAAATTCACAGGTCTGTGACCGCTGACAATCTCCCCTCCTCTTCCAGTTATCCAAACATAACTGTTATTTTTGTTTTCAATATTCGTATGCCTGGGAAAGGGGTGGTAATCTGCAAAAAAATAACAACAAACACCTCAGCAGCAGCTCAAAAAAAAAAAAGAAAAAGAAAAAGAAAAAGCCTGTTCAATTACGGCTAAAACAGTGGCCAGTCTAACCCCTAGCAACCCCATTAATTCCCTGCTTGCCTCTTTTCCTTTTTAGCGTTTGGATGTCTGGCTCATGGAATGAAACATGGACAGAGAAGTGACGGAGAAAGAGAGGGGTGAAAGAGGAGCGATGCTGCACTAGTCTCTACAATGCTAATAAAGTGGCAGAAAAGGCCGTTGTCTTAAGATCCCTTCATGCCAGTAGTAATGGCAGCTTTTCCCTGTTTGCCTTTTCAAAAGGGCGAGGGTTACCCGTCAAGCACACAAAAAACACTTTCTCTCTCTTTCATGCTGCGCTGTTCACCTCTAAATAGGCAGAAGGACGGATTAGAGGGAGAGAAGAAAGGGAGAGAAGAAAGCATGTCTTAGGGAGAGGAGTGAAAGAAGAGTTTGAAAAGCTTGTCTAGGAGCCAGACGAGGCCAATCTGGTGTTTAGTAGTGTGGGATCTCCCTCTGTCTCTCTCTCTCTCTTTCTGACCTGAATAAACAGCTATGAAAGAAGGCGGCGTCTTCCAAGCCAGTGAACACGCATGATGGGTCAATAAGTCCAAGTTCAGGGTCACAGCTGAAGTTGTTATTAAAGTCCAAACTGTGGAAGCTCAACATATGGATTCGTAACTACAGACACAACATTTTGAAAGTGACACTGTGCAAAATATGAGACAGTGAGATGACTACAAACCTAACAGAGCAGCCCCGCGGCTTCAGCCTTTGAGTACTTAGGCTAGGCCTCCACAAATTCAAATAAGGTTTAGCACTTCATAAATGTATAAGTCAAATTTTATGTGTTTAGTGCACATCACAGTAAAGCAGTGGAAGACTAATGCACACAGAAATTGTCAAATCTAAGAATCTACAGACAACGCTAACATCTGCTTAACATTAGCAGATATATTTACAATGTTCACCATTTAAGTTTAACATGTTAGTATGCTAACATTTGGTAATTAGCACAGAAGACAAAATACAGCAACTGATGGGTCATTTTGCAGGTATTCTGGCTTTGCACAAATACAAAATATTACTGTGTGAGGGCGATAAATAAAAGTCAGGACATCATCAGTGTAATTACAAGTCCTCCTGAGGGTGACATGAATGTCAGCGTCAAATTTAATGGCAAGCCATCTAATAATTCTGTGGGCATTTCATTATGAACCACAAATTTCAAACTCATGACGGTGCTTGAGGAAAAATCAGGGCATCATAAGGTCAAATTGATGGAAAGCCATCTAATATTTGCTTCAAGTTTTAAGTTCTTTGATGTCATTCATCATCCAGAACTGCTTATCCTATTCAGGGCTGCAGACAATCAAAGGATCCCAGAGAAAACCCAAGTGCAAACTCTACACAGAAGGGTCCCAGTTCTGGTTGAACCTGGAACCACTAGTGATGCACAATAAAATTGGCACGTCAACAGTATCAACTGATACTGGCTTTAAAATGAAATATCTTAATCAGCCAACATGCCGATAATATTGGTAAGTCATCAATATTGGCCAATATCTGCTTTAAAATGAACTGTAAGAACTGGCCAACATGCTTTTTCTTAATTTGCACAATGAATGAATATCACATACACTGAAAAATATTGTATGTCTACTGTATTGTCTCCATCTGCTGGTGGGCCATCACGATAAGAGCATGCATGCATAGTACGATGTTGATTTCACTACAGAAGACAGTAAGATGATGACTAAAATTAGGTAAGGAAAAAAGTAGATATACTGATATCGGTATTGGTTATCAGACAAATGAGTTGTTACATATCGGTGTATCAAAAATCGGCAAAAAATCCACTATCATGCATCCCTACTAACCACTGCACCAATGTGCCTCTCTCTTTAATGTCATATGCACATCAATAACAGAGAAGTATAGCTGGCAAAGAAATTTATAATAAGTTGAGGAGGTCAAGTCACAGCAGTTGTCCTCAGCGTTGTCTTTGTCTCTTCTCATCTAGTTAAAGAGATATTTCATTCTGGACCAAGCTGCTGTGGCTAAAAAAATAAGGCACCACAGATAGGCAAATAACTGCAGTTCATCAAATGGACACTTGCGGCTGGCTCTGAGAGCAAGTCAATCCCCATAAACCTTCATGTGAACATGAGCTACTCTCTCAAAGGCAGAATCCAGAGAAGCAAGTCTCAAAATTGTGATGTCAAAGGGGCTAAAGTCTGGAGCTGCTCTATTGACAATTAATGGGAGCCTGATTATGTGGACCCACTGAATAGTTGTTTTCTTTTTTTTATATACCCAAATGAGCTTTATTCTATTCTCGGTTCTAAAACAGAAAATGTACTCACATACTCGGAAAAATACCCCTGGATGGTCTCAATGTCATCTAGAACATCTTTCACCATTCAATGTCATTAGAGCAGCTTCAGACTTTATACCCCCTGACATCACACAATTGAGTTTTAGTGCTCTAGTTTTATGATTTAGGAGTGAGTTGTTCATTTGAACAAATTTTTTGGACTGTCTCAGACTGTAAAGTTAAGAGTGGGGCCGCTTGAGTGACAAGCTGTCTGTCAGGTGTCACCACAGTCTGAGTCACCTACACCCCTCGCTTCTCCCAAACTCCAACTTCTCATCCAAATACATTCCATTCTGGCTCCAGAGAAGATGGCAACAGCTAAAATATGCACTTGATGCCTCAGGGCGAGAGTCCACAAGCCAATGAGTGACATCACGGTGGTAATGACCATTATTTTTATACAGTCTGTGGTCAGTATCTGGTGGCAGATCAACCAACACCAGACCAGCATTGCCATCTATAAAGCAAGCAATTTTCAGCCTGAGTACAACAAAGGTTGAACTAACAAATCAGTGGCAGTGGACCTGCGATGCAGGGTGCCTGCCTGCTCATCTGGAGTAATTTGGGGTTGAGGGTCTTGCTCAAGGACACAAATTGTGAACAGGGGGTGACAGGGATCAAATCGCACTAAGATTAATGTTCGACTCACTCTCCCACCTGAGCCACAGCAGTCAGTACAATGTGATAAACACTGTCCAACTATGCCCATCCCATCTAATGTATGTGGTTTGGGCCGTAACCTCTTCAAATTAAAAGATGTTGCAGAGCAGCAAGGGGCAAGGATAAGCACTCATACATCCTGTATCTAGCAGAGAACAGATGAGGGTTAGGAGCAAACAGGTCCCAGGGCCTAAAATACTCACAAAGGGACACATTCTGGCAATAAAATGAACTATTCTTCATTTATTCTGAGATGCTGGCCAGAAAATCTAACCTCTGTGTCCTCTTTTCAGCTCACCTCTCCCTTCCTTCCCATCTTTCCCATCAGACAGAAGTGTCAGACCCATTTTCACAGAGACAATTTTGGAGCTAATGCTATCTGACAGGCAAAGTGATGCAGGGGGACAAGTCTGGGGCGCAACTATTGTTAATATTCATGAACTCTCTGCTCACTGCCAATGACAAGAGCAGATAGTTTTTTTTTCGGACTGTAAACATAATTGGTAAATGCTGACATGGCATCTGCGAGGACAGATTCTTGTTGTGCTGCAAGTCTTTAATCTCTGGTTTGGGTGATCAATGTTGTAACATCAGAAAACATGTCATATTCTCATGCTCACATTTTGGAGATCAAATATTTTGTGATACTTTCTCACAAGCCAACATATCTCTGTTTACATTAACTTTGAAAGGTAAAGCGAGCATACTGTATACTGTAAATGTCTGTAAATTAAGATAACACACAAGGAAGTCCTTTAGTTCTATCAAAAAGGAATTGCAATTATATTTTTTTCTTTTTTGAGAGTAAGTGAAAGTTTCTCTAAATATCACGCTGATTAAAAGCCACAGTGTGTCATTACACTACACAGAATTTCACTCATTTCACTATCACTGGTATTTATTCCAAATGCCAACAGTCCCTGCCTAAATTACTTAAAAAGCAAACCACAAGGACACCACTTATTTTAGGATTAAATTGAAAAGACGTTCAGCTCACAGTGAATCAGAAGACGCAAAATAACAGAAGCTGATTGGTGTGACATTCTTCAAAGCATAATTTCTCCCAAACATGTGGCAATTATCTAAATACATAAGAACAATAATGCAAGTGAAAATGCTAGGGAAGGTTGTGGAGTGTAGTCAGTGGATAGG